ATTCTACTTAAGCTCAACGAGATAGCCCTTCACATCGTGAATCCGTGACAAATGCTGAGTTTAAAAATGGCGTTTACCAGCCAACGTAAACTTCTTCGTCCCCGCGGTTTAATTATTTACATTAGAAAGCTATGAACTTGAGTTCTGCCTTCACAACCCTGTCAGTCTTTTTTTTTTCTCCCGTACATGAATAATTGAATTTTCCTTGAGCTTCTCGTGATTACTTTTTACTTAGTATGTGCCAGCGCTGTCTTCAATGAAGTTGTGTTCAATTTTTAGGCGTAATTTTTGTTGTATACTTCCGCTAACAGCCGATTAAATGAAATACCCCGATCGGGGTCTGTGTGTTTTGAGACCAAGCTATCAACTGACATAGAAGCACCAGACTGAAAACGAAACAGCAGAACTCTACCATGAGAACAATGCACATCTCTTAAATTCTGCTGAACCTGAGTTAATTGGTGATGGTGTTTAGAACGGAAGCTACACGCAATCTTAAAGTGAGGGCAGCAATGGCGAACCAGATGCCTCATATTGAACAACGCCTGGAACAGGGGGCTCCATGACGGAGAAGAGAGGGTTTGTATTTTAAAATAAATTCAGTAAGAACAATATGCTTTGCAGGCGCAAAGACAAGTGACCTTTGGTACCGTCAACCCCATAGGGCCAGAAAATTCTAGTGACAAGTGGTGGAACGACGGAAAGAAAGTGAATCAACTACACAGGGCTGCTAAGCGTGACAAGTGAATGGTCAGGGTTGATTTAGTCGGCCGCTTTCGGTCCTACTACTACCTTTTATTCTACAAAAGAAATTTCGGCATATTACATGTTGTAATCAGTGGATGAATCGTAAGAGCAAGCAATATAGCCTCTAAGACTCAGAATTGACCAGAACTCAATGTTCAAAAGTAACACTGCAACATCGTTAATTCAAGGGTCAGCTGTGTCCTACGGAAAACATAAAAAAAGAAAGAAGAGAACATGAAAATGAAAGGAAGGAATGACAGACTCACTTTGAAAAAGAAGGAACATATTAGTTTGTATTATAACAGAGTTAAACACTTGTCGGACATGTAGTGAAAGGGTAGTTATAGGTCGGATAACAAACTAAGAATAACTAGAAAATCCTAGTACAACAGGGAATAGAGAAATACAGTGGTTGCAGCATTTCTAAAACACAAATGAAGTCATTGTTAATTGCTTTTAGAAGCGCAAAATTGCTCTGATGCCCACCTACTACGCGAGATGATATGCCAGGACACTTTCCCGAGCATTCTATAGGCTTGGATCAAAGAAATGTAGAAAAACACATTGAGGAGAAAAGCTTGAAAGATTCCTCCAAACGCGTCTTTTTTTTTTTTGCCTCCAGAACAGGAAGTGGTTTCTACACTTCCACACCTATTAAAATTACCCGCTCTGAGTCATCCAAATTTCACCAGTTTGTCATTATTCCCTTGCACGTTCGAGAGGAAAATGAAGTTTGAAATATATTGGCCAGATATTTGGCGCTTCGTTTGAAAAGTTTATTTTTCGATGTACTTCAGTTTAGTTTACGTTGGCAGCCTTCGGGTTGTCGGTTTTCTTTCTTTTGTGTCCGTGTTCGCATGCTTACTAGAACACAACCCTCACTAAGAAGGTGAAATTAGAAACTATAGAAGAAATGAGAACATAGGAGATATAAAAGAAGTGCAGAGATCTCTTTGGTACGAGTGTATGAACGTGACCAGAATGAGTTATGAGCACTAGAAATTGCGCACCGAATAAGGAAGTCGTGTCACCGTATGGGTTTAAGTGAACTTTTAATAAGCCCAGTTTATGCACGCAGTGAATAGTCAATGCACGCGCGGACGTTGCACGAATTATTCATAATTGCCAACCACGTGTTCAAGTGCTTAATTAAAAAGCTGTGTTCACATGCTCATTCTATCCAATTTACGCAGTACACAAGCGCGTTGGGATCAGACTCTTGAAATGCCGGCACTCAATAGCGGTTACGGACCCCGGCGCCGGCGGCGGTATCGGACAACTACGTGGCAAAAAAAAAACAGACCTAATCTTGCAGTAAAAATGAGCAAGGCGCATAAGGAGGGTGGTGTAACATGGAATTCAATATACGGTAATCAAAACACAATGTCAGCGGGATCGTTCTCTACATTTAACTATATATACATAACAAGGGAAACTATTTGATATGAGGACGGGGAAAGCTATCCGCTGAATGCTTTGTTCGCCTAAAGAACGTTGGTAGGCAGTTGTTTGGGATTCGTAATAAACACGTCGCTCGAGCCCGGCGGGTGGTCCAGGCCAGAGGGTTCCAGGAATAAGGGATCCTCCTAACTTCACTCCCAAGCTTTGCACAACAAATATTTTGTCTCTCTATCTCTCGGAGCCACAAAGCGCGCGCGCACACACACACACACACACACACACACACACACACACACACACACACACACACACACACGCACACGCACACGCACACGCACACGCACACGCACACACACACACACACTGTTGCTCTTGCAACTCAACAATAATCTTCAAGGCCAAAACACACCGAGAACTGCCCATAGATGGAGACAAGCGAGAAGAGAATGACCACCAGCAGAGGTCTCCAGAAGTCGGGGCTGTCCCAAACAAAAGGAGGAACAAAGGGGCAGAAAAAAAGCAGAAAAAAAAGCGCTGAACTATAAACCGTCGCGCTGTTTCTTTTTCCCGCCTTATGATCGCAGTGACACGCAATCAGTTGCCGCTTTGTAGGTGGTAGTGCCAACGGATCCGTGGCGTGCTTCCCACTTTGTTTCCCTCAGCTAACGACGCGAACCGTCCAACGCGATGTCGGGGCCATGTTTCACGCGTTCTCGCGTTCCCGCTCATATTGCTCACAATAGGACGTGTTCGCCGAAGTTCTGCTTAAATCAGTCATGCGACAATGTAGGGCAGGATCTTTAACGTTCATGAAAACGCGGATTGACGACAGCAGAAAACTTTAGCGCTAATTTCGAGTATAGCTGACGTCATCACAGTCAAGATTTGTATGTACAGAACTTCAGTAGATGATATAGATGGCTTACTCTGACGTCACTGAAACCAGCCACATCGGTACAGCAGTATAGTGGGAGGCGAAGCGTGAGATGTGAAGATACTGTTAACAGAACGTCTCTGCACAGAAGCCGTGCACACAAGCAAGAATTCACGCACAGAAGCCAAGAACAGTTGCGACCACGACCTTATTGCGTTGAAGCGGGTATAACGCAGCGTGATTATGCTGGCTTCATGCCACCGAAGCCGCCATGTTGGTGCGCGAGTACATTCAGTAGCTGCGTCGATCACGTCACATGCAAGCTATCAGTGCTTCGAGAGACACGCAGCTGCAGCTTACGAACTGAGCGGGGACAGCAATTGTTAGATATAGTTAGACAGTTTATTTGGAATTTCGGTCCTTACGGGGAAGACAAAACGTGTGGCATCGCTTACCTTTGGTGGGGCAGTAGAACAGGGCATCATCGTGCTGGCAGCAACACCAAGCGGTAAAGACGGTATTCCTAGGCTGCGTGACTACTCCGAGGCACCTGGGGAAACGCGGAGAGCGCGCTCATCCATTCCCACGTGCAACACCAGCAGCGGCAAATTCTCGGTGGTGGTCGTTGTTTTGCCAGTTCTAATTGGGCGTTGTCGTGAGTACAGCTCTACAGTACCAGAGACGTACATTCGAGACGAGACGATAAACTCGCAACGAACTGGTCACGCTGATACTCTTCCTCAGAAGAGTAGAGAGGTCACGCAATGCGGACACGGATTTGATTAGGCCAGCGCTTGCTGAACTACCTAAGCAATGCCGTTCGGGAACAACATATTGCTTGCTTTCGATAAAGGAGAAAGCAGAGGTCTGTGATGTCGGTGCGACGGCAATGCTGGTTCCGCATCGGAAGTGCCTTCGCTCTCTGCTCGCTCCTTATCAGGCGAATCCGTCCGTTGTCTCGGCAGGGTGTGCTTAAGAAACTGGCTGAAGGAGCACGGTTGTGCGCACAGCCAGCCTCGAAAAAAAAAAGCGATCCTTGCAAGAAGCCGCACAAGGCTTGAAGCAGTGATAATAGTCTATTTTGAAAACTAATCTGATTGCTTGCGCTTCAAGAAGGGCAATTGTCCATTGCATGTGCTCCCCCTCTGTTATGTCTATTGATATGTGCGGTTTAACGTCCCAAAACCACCATATGATTAAGAGACGCCGTAGTGGAGGACTACGGAAATTTCGACCACCTCGGGCTATTTAACGTGCACCCAAATCTGAGCGCATGGGCCTACAGCATTTTAGCCCCCGTATTCCATCCCGCGGCCTGAGGGTCAGCAGCCGAGTGCCTTAGCCATTAGGCCACCACGCTTGGTTAGGGAGTTGGGGACGCTTGGTTTCAGTCCGAGTTTCAGTGCCGAAACCAAGCGTTCGCAACTCCCATAAACTATACGGGCACGTTGTCGTTGGCCTTGCATCACATTCAGCGTTTAGAAACAGCGCGAATCTAAAGCACGCGAAGAAGAAGGGGATATACATGACGACACGAGTGCTGACTAACAAGTGGTTATTTCCAGTGTTTGTTATATATAAATACACATAAACCATCAACGAAAAACGAAAAACTAGGCAAAATACGTGATATTGACAAAGCATTTTATCGTAGAATATATTACATCGCAGCGGATTAGATACAGACAAAAAAGGGCCGATAAATATCCACCAACTTGCCTTACTCGCGATTCTGCTGAAGCATCTCATCCTTGTGACGATTGCCAGGGACCTAAAAGCGCAAGCTCCTTGCTTGATCTGAAGGAACCCATTTCATATGAAGTGGGGGCCGGACAGGAAGACGTGGTCGAGGGTTATTTAAGGGTCTTACGCAATGACAAAAAAAAAAAAAATTCGGGAAGGGGGTTGGCACAGGCCTGGTGTGCCATCCACTGGCTACGCCATTGACACTAACGAATTACACAATGTACCCTCGCAGATTGCCGACTGGCGGTTCCCGTTCAAGAAGTCCTTCCACCCGGTCTGCACGTACGGCTCACGCAAGCTGGTGCGCGCGCAGCTGCGCTTCTGCGATCCCGACGACCTGGACGAGGGCGACGAGCTACGTGCGTACGAGTACTACGAGGCGCTCAGCTGCTCGTGCCAGGTGTGCGACTCCACCTGGACCAGCTGCGAGGGCTTCAGGCATCCATAGACTCCACCGACAGCCCAAAAAGAATGGCAGCAGCCTACCACCACCGCGGGCCCCAACAAGGTGCACTGGGTCCCGGACGGCGCGAGACGCTGCAGGGCAAGACGCTGCTGCCATTCTGAGAAATATAGTCGTCACCCCTGGCCACTCCCGGAGAGACGGACTGAACGAGCTCACTTAGTGTGCCGGAAAAAAAAAATTGCGACGAGGAGACCCCGCTCTTGACCGATCCCTTTCGGGGACACCAGCACTCGCGGAGAGATTTCGTCTGCGTCGGAGTTGGCAGTGTGTGGCTGAAAGTGTTCCTGGATCAGTGTCCGAGATTTCGGTACAGACGTGTGTTGCACAATATCTTGGCGGTTACCTTGCGTGGGGTTTCCTTCTAGCGCAAATAAAAGACAGGACAAACCTAATAATAAACAATGTTTGGGCTTTAACGTCTCAAAGCCGCCATGTTATTATTGGAGACGTCGTAGTGGATGGCTTCTAAAATTGGGACAATCTAGGGCTCTTTTACGTGCACCTAGATCTACGCACATGGGCCTCAAGCGTGCATGGTCAGCATTCAGCCACCGTACCGCTATAGACCACCTTGACGTGTAAAGGCCGGACAAAAGTGTGCGTCCTCATGTGTGTCCACAGTTGTCCTGTATTTTTAATTGCGTTTAAGGAAACCTACTGATGACGTGTTACCTGCAAGCACACGTGGTATTCCCGAGGGCCCTGCGCCTGGCCGTGAGTGAACGGAAAATAGCCGAAAACTAATATTATCTGAGGTATAAACCTAGCTGTCAGAACTGTCTTACGGTTGTAGAGCATGTTCTCTCTATTTTAATTGAGCCCAGTTTTCCGCTATGCACACGGCTTGCGGATAAAACGACGTCACAGCGAGGCGTGAACAATAGCAGCAGGCCATTATGGCAAGTCGGCCGCTGTTGCGCTCTTTCGTTCCTCTGCAAGCGCAGGCAGCTACTAAAATGGCATTGCTCGACAAGAGGGGAGTATACTTGTATACATTAACTAAAAGCCCGTTGGAAGCTTCAGGTGCTTCCCACCTGACCTCCCCACCGTTCCCCTGCCTCGATGCGCGTAGAAAACGCTCTCGCCGCACATTCTGGAAGGATTCAGTAAGTTCGAGGGCTCGAAAAACCTACGTGTTTCGTGGCCCGCCACTGTACTAACAGGAACGTTCCAGCTTGAATGTAGACACATGGCACTCTGAGTCAATATAACAGCTTTGTTCACCACATATGATTTTCTTCGCCATTTTCTGATTAAGTCACGGCAGGCGCGCGCCAGCCGGCAACAGATGTCGCGGTGGGCAAATGTCCTGAAGTCCTGGTGTAGAGGGCACTCTGTATCGGCGCTGGAACACTCATCGGTACAATTCACATTTCACACAAGCACACGTTATCTAGCAAGACCATTCCCGAAAGCGATCGATTTGTATCTTCAGAGCTCTTCTTGAGTGGACAACAATGCACTGTACACCCGGCGTGAAGCCAAACAGTGTCTGTTTGCTTTAGCGAGAGCGAGTGCTGTCGTTTAAACGTGGGAACCTTCATTCGTCTATTAATGTTAGGAACTGCCTACATGAAGCATTTTTTTTATAGGAAATCGGGAACGCTGTAACTAGTGAGTGGGATTGAGGTTTTGTAGATAAAGACAATGTCACCCGCTTCTAGATGCCCACAACACAAAGACGCAGACTCAGATCATGTTTATTGGCTTTAGATCTAAGACCATGTAGTCGAAGGAAACTCTTGGGTCCGCGGCCAACAATAAGTTTACAAAAGAATGCAGTAAAATTATTGAATGCTGTTCTTGAAGACAGTGGCATTCTTGGCCGATATTAGTACAATGTTTTTTTTTTTTTTTAACGTAACAATATTTATGTGACGGTTGTCTATTATGTTGACAATTATGTGACTTGACTACACGCATTGGCTGCTCTTCTGTTTGTTAACATGAAGGCATATGCAAATATATGAAGTTATGTCCTGTTATATATTGTATGTGCAGTGGACTTTTTACGCTTGGAGTCTTGAACTCTACGGGCTGTATGTTAGATACCACTAAAATATGAGAAGTATGTGAGAAGTAGCCGGCGCCTACATCTCCTTACATCACGTCAATAGTAAAAATAATAATAACCTTAAACAAGGTTATTTCTCAGGCATTGGAAAACTTGAATACTCCTTCAAGTTTGTGGCAAATTTTCAAGTCATTTTGAACTGGAATGTTGTATATCTTTACAAATATAAATTGACATAATTGTTTGTTTTGCTTTAATACTTTAGAGTTCTTCAGAGTATACTCGACAACGGACGACTCGCGCACATCACAAAATACGTGAAGAGTCAAGCTAAATGATTGACGCCTAGGCCACGGAAAACAGCGTTGAGCATCATTTGAGCAATAGCGGTGCTTATCTTACGCGCGCGCTCCCTGCAATGCTCTTGTAGGAACCTGCTGCTTTAATACAGCAATCGATGTCACCTTGAAGCGGCTTTTATCGTCTACATCAGGATTGACTCGTGGCTTAAAATATGTTGCGCGGATACGGCAAGGTCTTCACGATAATTTCGAACGCGTCCAAAGAGGAGTCCCTATTGGTCACACAAAAGACCCACAAACCGACGTGACCTTTCAACGAATCATGCGTTAACGGCCTCTTGCGTCGTCAACGTGATTGAAAATACCCGATAGCGTGGTTTCAGACAAGCGCTGTGGTGTGATTACGTTACACAATGGCGTTGTTAGAAGACGGCATGACGTGACATAACCGCTTCGTCAATAGTGGGCTTATTCAGGAAGTATTGCAACACCACATGAAGGACAGAAAGCTTCAGCAAGGGGACGGGTGGTAGCAACGATGCGATGTACCGACAACCTAAAGATAATTTAATGCGTGTATGTCCCACTGCAGCTCGTTACGTCTAGCAAGAAGCCTGTTTGACATTGTATAACTTAGTGCATTGCTAATGGTGGCTTTAGCCTTCACCTGTTACACAGAGCGTGAAAGGTTGTCGATCTTTTTTGGTTTTGTTAGAATGTACTGAGCTGAGAAACATGGAGGCTTACGAAGAGGCTTCAACTCAAATTGAGGTCAACGCAGCGATCACTGGACAGAAAGTGATAGGTTTAACCATAAGATACAGGAATAAAGCAGAATGGGTCAGGGGACAAAAGGGTATTCAGGACATGCTAGTCCATATAGACGAGGACAGTAACGCTAAGACATAGACAGTAAAGCTTTCGTTAGAGCAGGTTGTTGTATACTGGAAACATAATGCATGGGTGTGGTAAAAAAAAACACGGACAAAAAAGAGATGTCCACAAGACGGCCGCAGACTTCCAACTTTATTACGGAGTGCCAAAGCGAGCCGACATCAACACAAATCGTGTAATCACGTGTTCTCGTTACGCCCCCATCGCGACACTGATATCAGCGACACATTCCCTTACGGCTATCTGTCTTTCCAACATATAGTCATGAAATGGTCGCGCGCAAACGATTCGGATGCAGTGGGACCACGAGTGGGAGACAGAAAGTTCTCGGTGGGCCATTGAGATTTGTGGGTATAACAAGGCGCCAGCAAGCATAGGTCCGGCTTGATAGGCTTAATATGGGGAGAGGTCTCAGCCCTGTCGCAGAGTGTATTCATGTTGCTGATGATGGTGACTGAGACGAAAAGGGCGACAAACTACTTCACTTCTGTATCTTGCAGCACTGTTTCTTCGCGGCGAGTGCACAGTGCAGTCTATGCTAGAACCAGCTGAGCCATCCATGGATTAGTGTGACGAGAAAATGAGCTCACGCCCTTACTCTATAGTCAAATAAATCATGCGGTAGATTCATTCTGTCAATTGCAGTGGAGTAATATTATCCCACTTAGGCTGTTAAAGATTGTCAGCGTTGTACCAATGACAGATCGTACGGCATGACTCATGAGATAGATAAACGTTTTTTTTTTTGAGCGCCACTCCGAATGCTTTTTTCACGATATCAAGAACATAACGCTTGCGACGATAAGACGATTGCTAAGCGAGAATACGCACAAAAAGGAAATGCAGGTGGTGACGCCATTTTTAAGTTTCCTCTTCCTTCGCCGTGACTTCATGGAATTTGACGGTGTCAATTGGGACTATGTAGTACGGAATCGGTAAGAAAAGAAGCACATGGTCCTCTGAGGTAGCAAGAGACATGACAAACTAAGTTTCGGGAAATTTCGTTGAGGCAATGGGGCCAAAATGCGAAAGAACACTCAATTTTGTGACGTCACAGTCGTAGAATTTTGCGCTTAATTCTGACGCGGATAATGTCCATTATTAATAAACCTATATTGCTGAAATTCATGGCAATATTTTTTTCAAATAATAACTTGTCAGTCTAAATTTATTGTTTCCTCTGTTGCCTCTTTAAATGTAATACTCGTCTCCAACTTGAAACGTTTCGGTCAAACTAAGTTTTTTTTTTTATTCCAGTCAGGTTTTCTTCTTGCTACCAAATGGCAGTCTACTTATTCCCAAAGTGGATGCATTGTTTATTATTACGTTGTTGTGATATTTATTCAGGAGAACGAATTATGTCAATATTGCGGAGGGGACCAGCAGAAAGTGGGACGTGGGACGTGTATCAATAATGAACGCGTCTGCTTGAAAAACAATTTTCTTGCATATTTCTGATTATGAGGAAATCGTAGGTGTTCGCAGTGTCATTCATATTGTTGCATTGCCCTTTGTTATTCTCGCAACACGTGAGAGATACTTGAGGACTGACCTCCCTAGTTGTTGCTCAGGCCTTGATATTTGTGATAATCCTGACGTCTTCGTAAAGAATCCCGCAGTATGAAAGTAATAGAGGTACTATATGTGATGACGGTCACAAATAAACCCCTGCGGCAAGAGCGAGAAATTGTGAACACTGCACAACATGCAAAATACTTATCTTTGTGTCCTCGATAATATAAATTTGCTTGCAGCTATTGATTGATTGATTGATTTGATTGATTTGTGGGGTTTAACGTCCTAAA